ACTAAAAACATATGAAAAATTTTGTGAATGCCTACATAACAAGACTAAAGGCGCACATTATATCTGCCTGGCGTTCAGGTTTAATATACAGAAAAAGAAAGACATTTCTGTAAATATATTGTTAATGAAAAACATTCTGTTATGAAGAAAACGCAAGGTCAGAAAGTATTATTGTTCTCAGGCAAACTGAATCTGTAGAAAGGATGTTTGCAAGAATCCAAAGTGACATTGTGACCACAATAATCAGCCGTCTTTTGCCAAACTTGCTCTGGAAATCAATTGAGCGGCATTACATTAATCCATATTAGTCTGCACGCGATACATACTACAGAATAAACACAGTGCTAGATTTAGAGATGCTCAGGATCTTTGAGAAAAGCGGTTATCACCCTCGCAGCCCTAAAGCTGGCCAAATACCAGTAGAATCTCCTTCAGAAAATATATTTTTGGAACGCCTGTTCGATGTTCTAATAGTAATGGGGTCAAATCAATGATTGTTATCGACCACAGTAATACAAAAAATCAAAAGAGCGGGATGGGAATTTTTTCCGAAGGAACAAACTTTAAACAGTGAATGGGGGGAATTTATCAAAACTGGAGCAGACAAAATCTGGAGCAGATGTGCATGGCAACCAATCAGCTTCTCTCTTCAGTTTGTTCAGTAAGGAATTGAAAATGAGAGAGAGAAGCTGATTGGTTGCCATGCACAACTGCTCCAGATTTTGTCTGCTCCAGTTTTGATAAATTCCCTTCAATGTGTTTTTGGTTCAGGAAACCTTATTCATCCAAAAACCGAATGTTAAAACCAACCTAAATTTTCGGACGTTCTGCAAATCTCTGGCATGACTTGGCATTATTGAATGTTCTGTATGAATGTTCACAAACTTCACACTAAAATCTACCAGTGTATAGCCAGCTTTAAATCTATCAAATGTGTTCAAGTACCCTGATTATTAACAAAAATGTATCTTATTTGTGTATCACTGGGCTGTAGATCCTCAAATCATCTCTGAATTGGTGCTGACACTGTCCTTCCTTCTGGAGGGGGGCTACTTTTATTCCCCATGGTCCCTGTGTGTGTTGTAAAGTAGTCACCACTCCAAGCTCGCTTCCGGGATGGACTACAATCGCAATACAAATTATTAAACTAAACATGAGATTGTAGTCCATCACAGGAGTGACACAGGGACCATGGGGAAAAAAAGTAGCCCCCCTGCAGAAGGAAGAACCGTGTCAGCACCAATTCAGAGATGATTTGAGGATCTACAGCTGTGGTGGAGCACAAATAAAATACATTTTACTTAATAGTTAAGATACTTGAATACATTTTTGAGGTTTAAGTCCACCTGAGCTTTACAATATGGTTGGCAAAGCCCTCACTCCAAAGTTTGGTCTGAAATAGGGTCATTGGCCTGACCCCAGGATAGAGGGGGTCTCTTTGTTTAGATAAGAGCTGAGCTGCTGCAGCAAAAACAGAGCTCAAATCCAAAAATGTATTGATTATCTTCCCAGTCCCTCTCTTCTCGCATTACACCCTCACTCACATTTTACACAAAATGGTAAGCATACATACCTTATATGCAGAGGCGGAACTACCAGGGTCGCAGCGGTCGCATATGCCGCCAGACAGACAAGCGGGCGGGCCGGGCAGAGAAAACAACTAGCCAGAAATGCAGGCAAATACTGGGGCAGCACAGGGGACTCAGCAGCGAGGACCCAGCAGCAGCCACCTGATACAGAGACCCGCCTCGATGTCCTCCACGATGGTATGATTTTTTACAGCCTCCTGCTCAAGCTATAGAACATGGAATAGATTATGGCTGAAACTGAAACAAGAAGGGCGCCCACCCTAGTGTAGATGGGCCCCGGAAACGCGTCATCAAAAGGAGTGGCGGGGGGGGGGGGGGGCTTCATGGTTTCTCGCACCCGGGCCCTGAGGTTTCTAGTTATGCCTCTGCTTATATGACGAGCCACTGTCCTTCTTTACTCTCTCCAGCATCGGTAATGGGCTGTAATGCTGCATATAACAACGCTTATGTTGTGTCTTTCATCCTATACTTTGATTCCAGGCTAAATGATAACACCCCCCCAATAGGTGTGTCCATGACACCCTGTACTCACAGAAAGTGGGCTTATTGAATCCAATGGCAAAGGGGGATGCAGAGAGCAGCACTGGATTATGGCAAGGATGAGTGGTGCTTTCCATAACCTAGGGAGGGGGTGGCGCTGTTGTGTCGAGGGATGAGGGGGTCATATTTTCCAGAAAATGGGAAATAATGCATTGTGACGCATAGATGTATCATCCTTGAAATTTTTTTGCTTTTGCTTGGACTGCTATGTTTATGTTAACATAAAAGTGTCAGGACCCAGTCATCTCCATATCAGATCTTTAGCTGATACAGAGTTGATATCTTGGATGGCTACTAAAGGAAGGTGTTGATAATCAGTGAACGACCTGCTCATCATTCTGCCCAGCTCAATTTTATCATGTTGGCCATTGTTTAATGAAGAAAGTTTGGAGTTTAGGAGGTACCCTTTACTGCCTAACTTGAGTTACTACAGATCAAAACTTTTGGGGCCCCTTAGGTCCCTTCTTCAGGCACTTCTTCTTCATACATGCTTCAAACTTTGTATATATAGCCTTATGTACAGACCTAAAGGGACCGAAAGCTTGCATCTTTAATATGTCAAGTTAGCCAATAAGGGTTATTATTCCCCACTATCTGCATCTCTGTCAAAGCAAACTGTTGTTAAGAGTTTTCACTGTTTTTGGCATGGTTGATTGCAATAGAAAAAATAATTTACAGGGTTATTCACAAAAGGGTGAAGAGTTTGGAGAAGGAAGGAGAAGTGAACAATCTAGGACAACATAGCTGAACTGGAAAGTGAGCTGAAGTGGAGAATTTTTCCAAATCAGCTATTTTGTCCTAGATTGTTCACTTTTCTGCCTTCTCCAAATTCTCTACCCCTTTACCCTGTTAAGGTTGAAATCTAGGATCCCAGATAAAAGCACCTAGAAAACTGCTAATTACTACATAGTATCTAGCCTTTGGCTCCAAACAATTGGTTGCTAGTGGTTGCTAGAGCATCGGTCAATAATGTTTTAAAATCTATTCCATCTTGAGAGCAAGTAAAATGGCACAGCTGTTCAAAATCAGTTCAGGGTAAAAGCAAAACCCCCTGTCCACAAATACTAACATATAGATCACTGATATCTATGAAAGGATAGGATAACCCCCCATTTCACACAGCAGCCCATAGGAATCAGGCAGAGAGAGAAAAAACAAGCTATTTACGTCTGCCTGCAGCTATGTGCATGACATGATGTGGCGATCCCTCCAAATTAAGGACTTCAGGAGCTAAAAGCCAGGGAAATAAAAACTTGGTCTGACACGTTTGGTGTGAAAGAACTTGAGTGGCCTTCACAGAGCCTTGACTTAACCCTACTCAACACCTTGGGATAAACTGGAATGCAGATTAGGAGTCAGGTCTTCTCAGCCAACATCGGAAACCTGACCTCACAAATGTTCTTTTGGCTCAATGACCCACTCTAAGATCTTATACAAAGCCTTCCAAGAAGGGTGGGGGATGTTATATCCACAAAGGAGAATGGGAGGGGGCTTCATATTAATGACTTATTAATAGTTTTGGAATGGGATCTCCACGAAGCTGAAATAGGTGTGAAAGTTAGGTGCCCACAAACCCCTGGCCATATAGTGTAAGGGCAGAGACTCAAATTGAGCTAACCTAGTTAGAGATACCAGTCAGTCCTCCTTTCTGATATAAAAAATTACATTAATCACTTACTTATTCTGGTCCACATAATTTACCAAAGCATTAGTTTCAGCAGCATAAGCCACATGACAGACCCAAGTAATGTACTGGAAGGGGTTGACTGTATCCTGCTTACTGAAAAGGCATCTGACACAAACTAATGGTCGATTTCCACGTTCATTTAATGTTAAGTCCACTCACAACTGATTCTTCATATATTCGTGATAATGCTATGTGCAATAAACCATTCGCTTTGTATCTTTCACAGACTCAAGCAGTATGAAGTTACCACTAGAACTTCTCAATTGCCCTGCTACATTCTTTAACCTTCTATAGTGGTTGTGCTATGGGGTGGGACTCAAAATGTAGGTTCCAAGATCTCATTGCCAGAACCTCAAGGATATCTAGACAGCTGTTCAATGCATAGCTCCCATCTGTACTTTATTTGAAAGGTCTTTCCTTTTTTAGCCCAAATCCCTATTTTCTCCTCTGCCCCTCTGTTTGGATTGATACTTACCTCTGGTACCGTAACTTTCGGTCAGTGGGAGATCCCCCTGTGACCGGCAGTGGCGAGGAGGAATGGAGCCGGCTTCCTGATTGGCTAGGAAGCCAGCTTCACTTGTTATTAGGCAGCCTTGCTTCCTAACCAATCAGGAAGCTGGGCAAAACGTCCTCCTGGATTCCTGATTGGTCAGGAAGCCAGGCTACCTAGCAACAAGTGAAGCCAGCTTCCTAGTCAATGAGGAAGCCGAGAGGCAGGTCATGACGTGCCGCCCAGCTTCCTGATTGGCTAGGAACCCGGCTTCACTTGTTGCTAGGCAGCTTGGCTTCCTGGCCAATCAGGAAGCCAGACGGCACCTCATGACCCGGCTTCCTGATTGGCCAGGAAGCTATGCATGCCTTGGCAAGTGAAGCCGGTGTTCTTTCGATAGAACACTGGCTTCCCAGGCAATCAGGAAGCATAAAAAGATCAGTACTCGATACTGAAAAAACGATATTGGTGCATTTCTTCTACATACTTTGTTCTAAAAGGTGGCCATGTTTCTATTCTTAGAAAGTTGGGAGGTATGCAATGATTTGACGAACTGGGACCCACTAGAGTTAAAATCTGATTTTAGATGGACTGAACCTTTGACAGACTAATAAAATGTAATTTTCTACACTTTTCAGAAATGTCATATGACAAATCACGGGCAAGCATGCTACAGATAAAATGTATTACTTACCGGGTTCAGGGATGAGGAGTTGTGCATATGTCTCAGCGGTCCCAGCCTCATTCTCAGCGATACACTGATAATAACCTTCATCCGACTTCACAAGACCTAATATCCTGAGATTACTGCCACTCTGCAATGAGCAAAATACATCATTATGAAGAATCTGGCAGATGAAAGGGAAACAGCATGTCCTGCAGATAATCAGAGCTGCACCTGGGCAGCTGACTGTAACAGCATATTTCCTTTTAATAAAAAATATCTTCCATTAAATCATGCCGATAAGGGAACACTCACATTGCATCATGGGAATGGAGCCTAGTTAAGTCCTGCTCAGGAGGAGGTGTGGCTACATACATACATAAATTTGCGGTCTGACATACAAGAGGACTGCACTGAATACAACAAGCTGCAACTATCCGCCCGCGGCTGCACATGGGTTATAGATTGCGGATAGCTAGTTCTCTGTCCTCTCCATCAGCAATAAGGAGACTATGAACTGCTAGATCCTGTTCTCCACAGCCATCTACTAGACATCCTTATATATATATATATAGTACTAAAGCTGAAGCTCCTAGACCCAAATGACATTCGGGATCCGAATTTCCAAATTGCATTTGAGAGCTCTTGAATGCCATTTGGGTCTGTAGCCTCAGCTTTAGCAATATATGTATATGGCTTCGAGACCCGAATGGCATTCTGGACTTCCGAAACCAATTCGGAAATTTGGATGTGGCTTCACAAAAGAGATTTCCCATAACCTCCTATTCTGTCTGACACCCATCAGACAAAAAAAAAATCTCCCTTATGAAGAGACAGGCAGCAGTAAAAAATCCTGACAGTGGCTCTAAACCTTTTACATTTTGTTTCCTATAGCTATCCTATAGCTTTCTGATGTCCATTTATTGACAGGAAGTAAGTGTATTTTCCTCACTTCCTGTTCAGTCTTACACCCAATTATTAGACAGAAAGTATCCATATTTTCCTAATTTCCTGTTTTTTTCCTGACACCCAGACAGAAAGTAGGGAGATTTTATATAATTTTCTATTCCATTTGATACCAGTCGAATAAACGAGGAAGGTATGATTTGCTTTCACTTCCTGTTTCAGTTTGACACCATTAAATATATAGGAATTGTAGAGATATTTACAAAATGGGCACTCAATAAAATGTTGACAGAGGTTCTAAACCTTCAACACGCTATCAAAAACTATAAAAATAAAGTTTTGTTCTGGAGTTGGCTTTACAGCAGAGTCTCCAGCCAAAAATAACAATATAAACAGCCCATGTAAAGATAAAATAACAAAACCAGCTTTTGATGCAATGTTCACTTTCAGTTCAGAGATTTCCCCCGCAGTACTTTTTCTTGCCATCAGCGTGATGGCCAGCATCACACCCACTTCCCCTGAGTCCGGATTGTCCAGGACGAGGCCGGATATTACCGGAGCGGGTACAGGGCGACACCCAGCCATGATGTCATCACGCATGCATGGCCATCTTGGTAATACCTGTCGACGGCCATCTTGGTGATGGACGCTGACAGAGGGGAGGGGACCGGTGGGATAAGGTACACGGCCGGGTCCCCTCCTCTCTTGTGCAACTGTCGGGCTCTCTGTCCATGAACAAGTGCCCAACTTTTCACAGGGGGTGACACCAAAATGAATGTCACCCCTCCAATGGTGTCACCCGGGTGAGTGCCACACAGTGTTTTTCCCCATAGTTCTCCTAAGAGTCACGGGAGGACACAAACTAGTGTCCTCCCGTGACCCAAAGCTCAGTATACTGTGAGCTACAGCTTGCGGTATACTGAGACTGTGCAGCCGGGACGTATCCCGACATTACTTTCGAGATCCACCCAGCTGCGTGATTGACAGCTGGCTCTGCCTATCTATAGGCAGAGACAGCTGTACCCGCTACTCCCCCGTCCGTTATGCCAGTCAGTGCTGGAGGATCGGAGAGGAGAGAGGGGAAATCCCTGCAGGGAGCTGTGAGTGACAGCCACCGCTCTCTCTGCAGGGACATGATCGAGAAGTGAGCGAGCGACAGTATGTGTTCGCTCACTTCCCGATCTATTGAGCCAACGTGTAACAGTTTCATTGTCACACGTCGGCTTGAACTATGAGGTTGAGTGAAGATCACTCACCTCATAGTTCTCCTGTAATATCTGGATGGAGTTCAGCTTTAAACCTAAATACAGAGCAAGTGTTTTCTAGACGTCAAGATCTTTGAATTCTCTAGCAATGCAACAGATATATATTTAACCAGGTAATGACTCTTGATTGAGGCCTTTAATGAAAGCAAATGAATGCCTTTTGCTGCTCTTTGCACATTGTTACTTAATAAATCCCATAGTATCTAACGTCTGCTGATATTATGAAGCTCGGTGATGATCCCGGCTGCAGACAGGGAATGACAATTTTAATAACTGAATTGTCTCGGGTTCTCGTTGCTTTGCGGGATGAGAAGCGTGTCTAGGAGCGATGTAAAGTGTGAACCTGTCAGCCGCTCATTGCAGCAGTTTAAGGCCTCTTTATGTTAGGGCACCTGTGGGAATTATCACCGGAGCAAAAGTTTAATCGAAAATGTTTTGCTGCCGGGCGCTGCTTTCAAGGATAAGACAAACGTGCGGCATCCCGTCGCATCTGAACCCATTCCAAGAAGCCCGGCTACTGTTAAAATAAGTAGAGAGCATATTTTCTGACAAGTTAGAGGATCCGATAGCAGCCTAGCCTTCGCTTTGGGGGAAAACATCAGCAAATCAAATTCAACCGTCGCCCTGAAAAAACTTGAGGCCATCCAAAATAGCTAACATTAGCTTTGCCTCCTGTGCTGTGAATGCGCTGTCAGCTGTGCTTAGCTTCGAGATGATGGCTCAGCGAATACAGGTGGCAATATAAGGCTCAAATCTATATAGAGGCCATGGCGACAACAGCCTAGGGCGGCAAATATTATCAGCATGTCAGTCAGCCTGAACATACATATAAAATAACTGGTGTGATTTATAAGCCTATTCAGAATTATGGATATTAGGTTTAAAGTTAAGCTGAAGTGTAATCTGCTTATATTTGACCTTTCCTGGGTCTTTCTTTCTCCCCTAATCATCATGCTAATGGAAATTTTAAATAAAAACTTTCCACTTTCCTTATACAGTAATACCTTGGTTTAAGAGCATAATTCGTTCCGGAAGCATGCTTGTAATCCAAAGCGCTTGTATATCAAAGCAAACTTCCCCATAGGAAATAATGGAAATTCAGATTATTCGTTCCACAACCCAAAATATTCATATAACAATGATTACAATACCGTACTGTAATATAATACTGTATAAAATATAAAGAAAAATAAACCAATTACAGGCACCTCCGTGGCTGGTGTGAGGGGGACAAGAGAGAGGAGGATTATTGTGTAGGACGACTTTCACTATCACTAACGGAATCACTGCTATCTCTCGACTCAATGGAATCTTTTTCATTTTGTGAAACCTTAACAAGGAATCTATTCAATGTGACATTGTGTTGTCGTTAAACAGACTCATCGCTCGCACTGCTACAGCCTTATTCGGGTGGTGCTTTTCTACAAAATTTTGCTCTTATTGCAAGACATTTGCTTGTATATCAAGGCAACATTTTTCGGAAATGTTTGCTTGTCTTGCAAAACGCTCTCAAACCAAGTTACTTGTAAACCAAGGTATTACTGTATACCTTATTTCAGAACCTGTGATGTCAATACTAGGGCTCTATGCAGGCCTATCATGGCTTGTGGGAGGGGCCAGTAGTTTGCTGTTTGTAGTTTCCTGTAAACATCTTAGCACTAGGGTTGCCACCTTTTAGTGATAAACAATCTAGCGCTGCTTGGCATTTTTGTTTTGGGATAATTTACAGGACAGAGCGAAGAGGAGCGAGGAGAGACCGCCAGGGGAAAGAGCAAGGAGAGACAGCCAGGAGAAAGGGAGGAGAAACAGCCAGGAGTGAGAGAGCAAGGAGAGGCAGCCAGGAAAGAGGAGAGACCGCCAGAGAAGAGAGAGGAGAGACAGCTAGGGGAGAGAGAGGAGAGACAGCCAGGAGAAAGAGAGAGCAAGGAGAGACAGCCAGGAAAGAGGAGAGACAGCCAGAGAAGAGAGAGGAGAGACAGCCAGAGAAGAGAGAGGAGAGACAGCTAGGGGAGAGAGAGGAGAAGAGAGAGGAGAGACAGCCAGAGAAGAGAGAGGAGAGACAGCCAGAGAAGAGAGAGGAGAGACAGCTAGGGGAGAGAGAGGAGAGACAGCCAGGAGAAAGAGAGGAGAAACAGCCAGGAGAGAGAGAGCAAGGAGAGACAGCCAGGAAAGAGGAGAGACAGCCAGATAAGAGAGAGGAGAGACAGCTATGGGAGAGAGCGAGGAGAAATAGCCAGGAAAGAGAGAGAGAGAGGAGAGACAGCCAGGAGAGAGCAGGGAGAGACAGTCAGGACAGAGAGAGAGAGAGAGAGAGAGAGGGGAGAGACAGAGGAGAGAGTGAGGAGAGACAGAGGAGAGACAGTCAGGAGAGACAACCAGGAGAAAGAGAGGAGAGACAGTCAGGAGGGAGAGAGAGGAGAGAAGGCCAGGAGAGAGTGAGGAGAGACAGTCAGGAGAGACAGAGGAGAGACAGTCAGGAGAGACAACCAGGAGAAAGAGACATTCAGGAGAGAGAGTGAGGAGAGATAGCTGGCAACACATCTGCCTGAAGTGGAAACCCTGTGCCCTTCAAGACTCATCTGTACACTGCATTTCAGACACCTCCTTGCGCCCCAAGTTCTAGCTTGCCACCGTGTCCCATGCCTTCCCTATGCACTCAAGTTGGAACACCAGGACCCCATGGTTGCCCCTGTTTACCTGACATAATTACATTTTGTGTTCAGGTTTCAGCTGTCCTGAAACCTTGACACAACACATTCAGGACTCAAAACCCGGACTGCCCGAGTGAATCCCAGACAGGTGGCAACCCTACACAGCACCCTGGCTCAACACTCCTCTCAGGAGCCCACAGCCTGATGCAAGCAATGGGCTGGCTCTTGGTAAGAGTTAGGCAAACATCAATAAGCCATGATTGCTGGCTGCCAGTCTGGAGCAATGGGCATTCCTAGGCAGCCCTGTGGCTGTTGTCTCAGGTGGCATCTCTTTGGTTCACACAAGGGGGCAGCAGGCAGAGCGACATGGCCAGCCCCTCAACCTCCTGGCCTCAGGTGGCAGAAGGCTAGGAACACCTGTGGCCCTAGGTAACGCCCACATGTGATGCTGAGATTCAATGATTGAAAGTGTGCTTATTCTAACACCCAAAGTATATGCAATTTTTAGAATATTATATGTCGCAGAAATTGTGAGATTCCTGTGAAATGTCCCAAATAGGGATTATCCTACTTATGGTGCACATGTCGCATTTAACAGGAATGTGCATTGCGAATCATTGTTTATTTGTCCCACTAGTGAAAGTGCTACCATCTGAACTATTTTAATGTTGTACCACTGATAGATTATCGGGCTCAATTCAAGTAGTTGACAGGGTCGCAGACATTCAAGCTAAGTGTCAGGATAAGAAAAAGTAAGTACAGCTGAGGACACTGGTCCAGAAGCATTACGTGAAGGTCATGAGCATATCGTGTGTGGCCACTTAAGGTTCAGTGCATAGCAGAGATCTTCAAATATATACATTTTCATGTGCCAGCATGACACTTTTCCATTAATACATAATGAAAGATTCCAGTAATTATATAGTCCTGCAGGTCACAGCAGGAGCCGCCTATGAAGAAGAGGACATTTATGCGATTCAAGAACATTCTCTGTTATAAGCCAGCACCATCTTACAGCACAGACGGGGCTTACGCTTATATCAAAAGAGTCACTTAAACTTTAATAAGTAAAACTTCACAGCGCAAGCCTCAGCCCGGCATGGAGAGGAATCAGATTTTTTATGCAAGGAACAAGTCGCTCAATTTAGATCGCCCTTGTAACTCAATGACTTCATAGCACAAATGAGCTGTTGAAGCCCGGCTCCAACTGTTAAAGCCTGGCTCCAAACTTCTGACAAGTTTTCATTGCAACATATAAGCAGAGGGAGAGTGTAAAGACCTCTTTCATAAAACACACATTTATTGATATTAAAAAAAATCTATTTTCTACTCACACAATTGTGACAGGTAACGTAGCCCTTTAAAAAGAGCCTTGGAGTCCAGCAGCAGTAACCCATCATCCCCTCTTAACCTATGACACCACCAAGCTACTTATTCACTCTCTCGTTATCTCTCACCTCGACTGTTACAATTCCTTCCTCGTTGGCCAGCCTCTACGCAGACTATCACCTCTTCAGTCTATCATGAATGCTTCTGCCAGACCCCCTTACCAAATGCTTACCATCTGCCTCCCCTCTCTGTCAATCCCTCCATTAGATTCCATTTCTCTGCCCCCTCTTTACCAATCTCTCAACCAGCTTCCAAACGCCTAACAAATAAAATTCAAAATAATAACAGCAACATCCAAAGCAATCTCAACTCTGTCCGGAGCTACATCACCAATGTCATCTCGACACCATCCTCTGCGCTCTTCCCAAGACCTTCTGCTCTCTAGCTCTCTTATTGTCTCCTCCCATGCTCTCCTCTAAGACTTTTCCAGAGCCTCTCCCATCTTCTGGAACTTCCACCCCAATCTGTGCAGCTATCTCCTACTCTGTCCACATTTAGGCGATCCCTGAAAACGCTTCAAGGAAACCTATCCCACCTCTACTCAACAACTGAACTTTTACTTTCTCCATCAACTCATCGCCTCACAGTTACTATTTTTTTATTACTTGGCTTTCCCTTTTAGATTGTAATCTCTGAAGATCATGGTTCAATTAATCCACTTGTGTGGAATTGTATTGTAACTGTACTGCCTTCTTATAAATTGTAGTGTGCAAACTGTTGGTGCTATAGAATAATAAAAAAAAAATGAATTCTGTAAACCTTGGCTTGAAACAGAGGCACCCGCTGCAAGCTGTATTCAAGAAGCATCCTTGGGTGCCTGGAAGCACCTTAGATGGAGAGAAGCGACCTAATTCCAGGTCCCAACAAGGCCATACAATGTGTAGTGTATGCCCCTGTTCCCAGCCAAGGTTTACGGAAAATCCAGAATACTGGTATGATAGCCAATGGTCACCAATGTAGGATCATGCTGCTGGACACAATTGTAAGTGCAAGATTGATTTTAATTTCCATACATGTGTGTTTTTATTATACATGGGGTCCTTGTGGCCTCTCCCTGCATAAATATTCCTAAAGTTGTGGAACTTCCTCACCATTAGGAGCAGCGAGACTGTGTATCTATATCTGGATGTACATTTAGCTTGGATTTAGAGACTTCAGAAAGGCATTTGTAGCATGGACATTTGGACTTTTAGTATTGTGAGCTTTCAGATGTATTTTTTTCTTTGTTTATCATTGCTTTTGATGTAGTCTGAGACTCAGTTAGGGATATTTTACCATACCTGTACCGTGACAGCAGGGCCTGAAATGAGGTGAGTGGTTGTGACATGGATAACCTGTAGAACATTGGAGGAGCAGAGAGGATGGTTTGGGTGATATTTCCAGATGATGTTGGTGATGTAGCTCTGGGCAGAGTCCTCACTGGGGAGATTTACCATTACTTTCTGTCCCGCCAAGAAGAGAACAGACATTACCCAATGGGGACCAAATGCCTGTGAAGGGGCAGTGAAGGAGCAGGTTCCCTCTCATTTGCTGCTGTTTTTCTGGGACAGGAAGTTGAGGGAAGTCTCCCCAGCTGGGACACAGACAGCTCCTAAGACCTGACAAAGATTCTAACACATCTAAATCTAGAAAACAAATTTAGCCTGTAGCTATACTTTAACCTTACTGACAACTAGACACATAAAAATATATTTACCACTATCTGGAAGTAGTCACTGGGAATAACTACTTCTCCATTCTTGATCCACTGGATGGTCGGAGCTGGCTTTCCAGTGACAGTGCATTCAAACTCGATATCCATGCTTTCGTAGGCGTATAGGTTGGCTGGGTGGTTTAGAAATCGCGGCGGCACTGTAAGTAAACAGAATTATACGTTACTAAAAGAAATCTAATGTCAACTTAAAGCTAAACTCCAGGTTTGGAAAATAATTAAAAAGTCCATTGTTTAGCTATTGTAAAAAATAAAAAAATATATGGCGGCTTTACTCACCAGTGCTGTCCCCTCAGACTCATCATTCCCTTTCCACCCTCCATCCTGGGTTCACATAGAAGAAGGCTACAGAGAGTGGTCCCATGCCACTCTCTGCAGCATTTCTGAATTGCCCTTTGCTGGATGAAGAAAAGGTGGAACAAATGATGTCACCAAACCAAAGACAATGGGAAAAAGGTATGCTAAAAAAAAAAAATTTTATGGGCATGTGGTGTGCTCAACTGGAAGGGAAGGTGGCAAACGTATGGGGCGGTGGCGGTGACTCCTAAAGCCAAGGTTGGCTTTCATTAGTATTGATGGAATGCATATCCTTGCAGGCTGCCATGGCACACTGGGACATGTCCTCTGAAGCAGTCAGATCCGTGTTCCGGATCCATCACTTCTGTCGATGATTCCAAGGCCAAATATGTGAATAATAATAATAATATAAACATCATCCTATTTTGCTGGCTTGTTCCTCTCCTCGGAAAATTAACATTTCAGAATATTTATATTTCTATGACATCTGCCCACTGAACTAATTCACCAGTGATGCATACAGCGCTGACATCCATATATTTGCATATAATTTAAATACAAATACATTTTGAGAGGAATTCAAATAAGCAATTGCACATTAGTTTGTGGTGTTTTTTTTTTCTTGTATAGCTCCTGGAATTGCGCTGAATGTGAAATTAAACGTGGGACCATGGAGGAGAATTGGTGGATTGGCCAACCGGGAACAGTCAAATATAGATTTCCTAAGATACGTCAATATGCACACCTATGGGCTTGGTTAGCATTGGATTAGTGCAAGAGGAATCCTCCAGCTGAAGCTAAGGTCTAAGGTTATATGGTCATATGGGGCACCTCCAGCTGCAAAAGTGAATCTTAACAAAAATGCATATTTACTTGGGCATATTGTTGGCCTTTATGACAAATCATTCACTATCTTAGAATTGTTTCTCTTGTCCCTATGGTGAGTAAACAATTAATAGTTTTAGCATTATTCCATACCAAGAGAGTCACGAAATTTGTCCAAAACCAGTGCTTTATTTGTAGTTCTATGATCCATATAATAGCCAGTCAGCCAGACTCACTGTCATTCCAAAAATACACATGTGAATTATAAAGCAAGTAGCACTTCTTCAGCAGAGCATAGACTGGTAGAGGGAGAAGCAGCACAATGTTCCAATTGTAAACAAAAGGTAACAGAGCGCCACCTCTGTGTGTAAAATCGTTTATTACAATAAATAAAACAAGGGATAAAAGTACTCACAAACAAACGTTTTCATCAGGCTTTAACAACAAACGAGAGGCCACACTGTCTGTTGACCCAACATGGTATCCCCCCGACTATGTAACACGGTAGTATCCGGTCACATCATCGTCCACCGACCGCAGTCAGCCAAGATTGACGCGTTTCAGGGGCAAGCCCCCTTCCTCAGAATCATCAATGTTCCAATTGTTATTATTATTATTATTATAATACGGGATTTATATAGCGCCAACAGTTTGCCGCTTCACAATTTAAGGAGGACATTACAGTTACAATACAGTTCAAGACAAGATGGTCTCTTTAAACCCCGCAAACAAATTGTTTCGTTTCTGATCCATTTGGATTTTTAATTCTTTTGTTTTATGGATTTTGGATCCGAAATTTGATCGGATATTTTATTCTGATTTCGGACCCGTCCGAATTTTCATTTCGGAACAAAGTCACATGACCGTGCCTGTAATGCAACCCCCAACAGCCCAAAAATTATCTGATGGACCAGAGAACAGTCACATGTCTGAATTAGGATGGATACGAATTTTGGTTAAATAAGCATTCAGATGCATGAGCATTCGGACATGTTAGAATTCAGAAGAATGGATGCACCTGAATGTCTGAATTTAACATAATTTGTACGAATATCCATTCAGACCGAAATGAAATTGTCATGTCTAGTTAGGAGGGCCCTGCTTGTGAGAGCTTGCAATCCAAAGAGTTGTGCTGCAGTGTTTATGTCCTGATAGGAGGAGGGAGCAGAGTGACAGAGACTCATCAGTTTGCTGCTTCTCCTTTCACTGTCCAGTAACAGGCTTAGGGAAAGAACTGTGAGTGTTACCTAACTGCAGCAGAGAAAAATCAGGTCTTCTGCCCTGCCAGATGGGGCTGTGCTGAGTGGCAAAACTGTGTAAATCTCAGTACTGAATGGACAGATATGCAAATCCTTTGGCAGATAAAAGAGCTCCTTTATAAGAATTAGACATGTGCGTTTTTCGTTTCGTTCCGAATCAAAATTCTGACCAATTTTCCGAAATTCAGACACATCCAAAGTTTCGACTCCCAATGCATCCGAATGTGTCCGAATCCGAATTCCCGTTTCAGAATTTCGTATCTCGTCCGAATTTCGTTCAAAAACTAAACTGAATCGGACATGTGACTTTTCTGGCCAATCAGTTGTGTTTTTTGGTTTAATGCCTCCCAATGGGTCTGATTTTTTCGTTACGGCAACATGGGAGCTATATACAGTATATACAATTCTAAAGCTGAGGCTCCTAGACCCGAATGGCATTCAGGGATCCGAATTTCCGAATTGCATTCGGGAGCTCCCAAATGCCATTTGGGTCTGGGAGCCTCAGCTTTAGTAATATATGTATATGGCTCCCAGACCCGAGGGGCATTTGGGAGCTTCCGAATGCAATTTGGAAATTCGGATCCCAAATGCCCCTCGGGGTCTAAGAGACTCAGCTTTAGTAATAATATCTGTATATGGTTTTCTGTGTTAGTCGCAATGAATATTTGTACGTAAACTCATCCGAAACGAACAAAATTCGGATTTTGGCCGAATACGAAACCCGAAATGAATTGAATTTCGGATCAGAATCTGGAAATAACGAAATATCCAAACCAAACCGAATTTTTCTGCAGCTTACATGTCTAATATGTATGTCATCTGCATATTCAGCTGTTTTCCGTAAATTTAGCTGTGCAATATATGAGTTCTCTTCTACAGCAGAGTTTAGGCTAGTAGAGGGAGACTAGTAGAGAAAGAATAATACCCCCTGACCCTCCCGGAAAACAAAAAACAAAAAACAAACGTATATAATAAGACACTTTCCCCCATCCTTCATCCTTCCCCTTCCATTTCCATCCACACATCTTTTCGATTTTCATCAGAGTACAGGTACAGAAAATATTTGAAGACATTTTGTCTAGCAGCACAAGGCCTCTGTTAATTCTTTTTAATTATGCACAGTAAAAAAAAAAACTTAATTCCAGTTAAAATCCAAGCACAGACTTATCACATGGTCTATAAAACCCTTGTGGAAGTGAGTTTCTTTTACTGCGCCCGGTTTTCTGATGAGTCTGCAGGCATCAGTCTTTTTCATGGTGCCGGCTTTATGGGCGAGCTCTGTTATTTATTAGTAGATTGTGCTGATTACTTAAATACTGATTTAATAATGTTACTGATTGAAGTTGCTGAATAATTACAATTTTTACAAGTGCACGAGCAGCTTGGCATATTAAAGCAGGCCACCTGTACGTCGACTGTAAAATTTGAAGAGGTAGAATAAAAAGGGAGTTTAGAAGTCTAGGGGGATTCGTCCAGCATGTACGGGAGTGTGGTGTTGTGTGGAAATCCCGCAGTAGAACTGGGGGTTGTAGTCACCCAGGACACTCAGCCAGAGGGGCCGAGCAGTTCCAGGAAACAAATTATTTTGCTGGGAAAGAACTGGCTTTGCAATTCTCTCCCTAGAAAACCTGGATTTGGCTTGGGATCCTGGAACTGGGAGATTTCAAAGAGAATTGGGAGGGAGGAAATCTCCATTCCTGGGTCCATTGTCTAATAGTGGCCAGCACCTAATTGCACACCTGTGCACAGCACTTATGGGAAGGGTGCTGGCTAGTGTTCTGGGCTCCAGCTGGGAAGAGGAACAGAGGTGTTCAGGAGTCAGGAGGACTCCACCCAGACGTCAGAGGGGAGCCAGGTGGCTGTGTGTGCTGGAGGCACCTCGAAGACAGCCGAGGAGAAAGAGAGCCAGTGACACAGGAGGGATGTGTTTAAGAGTACCACGAGAGGTGGACTGTGACTCTGTTAAGAAATACCCTAATGTCCAGGGACTGGGACACAAGGAGTATGTGCAACAACCTGGAGTGGTGAGATTGTCATACCTTCAGTTTTGCTGAAATACAAGCAGACCTTGCATTATCGTTGAAGCTTTGTTTTCTGTTGCTGAATGAAATAAAAGACTGTCCTGTTTATGTTTAAAACGGTTATAGTGAGAACAGCAGTGAGTGAATAGCCGAATGCCGCTGAAAAATAGTTTAAAAAGTACAAAAAAAGTAAATAGAAAATGATTGTGCGGAGCTAGCAATGACAGCGGTTCTGCTGCCATCAAAAAAAAAGAAAAAAAAAAGATCTCCCGGGCGCTCTGGGAGTCTCCCGCTCCCGGCCGCCAAGGAGAGAAACACTGCTTTTTCTTTTTTTTTCTTTATTCTGACATGGAGTGTCAGAATAGAAAAAAAATATATATATTTTTTGCCCATAGGAATGCATTGATAGATTTATATTGGCTATTTCAATGTGCAATAGCCAATAGTAAACTAGCATTGCACCCGCAATCTGCTGCAGTTCTCCATCAGGTCCATCAGCAGAGGGTGGGTGCAATGCTAGTTTACTATTGGCTATTGGAAATTGAAATAGCCAATAGTAATCTAGCAATGCATTCCTATGGGCAATTTTTTTTTCTATTCTGACACGGCTCCGTGGGACACGGCTCCGTGGGACACGGCTCCGTGTCAGAATAAAGAAAAAAAAAGAAAAAGCAGCGTTTCTCTCCCTCCTGGGCGGCCGGGAGCGGGACACTCCCGGAGCGCCCGTGAGAGTTTGCT